AAGTGGTAATCCCCCCCCAAAGCGAAACGCATGGTCCGTAAGGAAGGTTATCCTTCACATATCCCAGGATTGAAACCTAAGAGTAAGAAACGTCATGCTTTCATTGTCGCGGATACGGAAACTGTTATGATCGATAATGCGCATGTCCCTTATGCAGCCGGGTTTCTAGTTGTGCAGCCGGGTGAAGATGTTGGAGCCAAGCCTGCACATGCCTTTGAAACCTTTTATAGTGAGGACCATCTGCTTATTATGTCTGAATTTAAAGACCGCAGTCGTCAAATGCTGTTCAGCTTTCTTGGTCGCTTAGCCGTGGTTGCTAGAAGTAGAAAGATTCAAAGGGTATATTTTCATAATTTAGGATTCGATGGGATTCTCCTTATGCAGTATTACGTGTCTCTTGGGAATAAGTACACGATCGAGCCCCTTATGCGCAACTCGCGACTATATGAGCTAGCTGTATATCAGGAGGGTAAACTTCTCTTCCGGCTCAGAGATTCATACTTGCTTCTTCCAAGTAGTCTTGCTACATTAGCGGAGACTTTATGTCCACAATTAGGACCTAAAGGCTCAATCCCAATAGCCCCTGCAGACTTGCAAGTGTCTCATCTGCTTCCTATGGGCCCTCAATTGCTGAAGTATATGACGCAGGATATTCGACTATTAGGCGGTATAATGGCAAGTGCTCAAGAAATTTATTGGACTCAATATAAGGTTGATATATTGGGGTGCTTAACTTTATCAGCCCTAGCTATGAACATTTTTCGCATTTCATACTATGATCCGGAGAGCTGGCCTATACATATCCCAAGTCGGAACGAGGATGCTTTCATCAGACGCGGCTACTATGGTGGCCATGCTGATACATATATTCCCTATGGTGAGGACTTGTACTACTATGATGTCAATTCTTTATACCCTTTCATTATGAAAACCTATGATATGCCAGGTGGTAAGCCTGTCTGGCATGGTAATTTAGAAGGCCGTGAGTTGTCAACCTTGTACGGATTTATAGAAGCTTATGTAGTGTGCCCCCCTACCATTAAGCGCCCTTTCTTGCCATATCGCGATGAGAATGAGACTTTGCTCTTTCCAACAGGAAAATTCGTAGGTGTCTACTATAGCGAAGAGCTAATTTATGCACGTGAGTTGGGTTACACAATTGTACCACTGCGCGGCTATTTGTTTAATAAGAAGCCCAGTCCCTTTGAAGGCTTTGTCTCATCGATCTTCGGGAAACGCAAAGAAGCAAAGAAAAAGGGCGATGAAGCAATGTCTTTTGGCTACAAAATACTGATGAACTCACTATATGGCCGAGATTCGGCATAAATCCGAAGTGTACAACAACCGTGGTATGCAATCGTAACCAGTATGAGTATTGGATCAAGAAGGATAATTTCATCTTTGGGGATCGCCTGGGGGACCATTACTATATAGTCAATTATGTCAGCAATGCCGCCAACGCCCCTGACTCGGAGTGGATTCCACCCAAGATATCGGCGGTTCAATTGTCTGCTGCTATTAGTGCTTGCTCCCGTATCCACATGTACAAGTACATTTCGCGCGAGGACTGCTATTATACTGATACTGACTCAGCAATTTTAGGCAATCCTCTGCCCGACGAAGAAGTATCAAATCTTGAATTGGGCAAGCTGAAGATAGAGCACAAAGTAAAGAAAGGGCACTTCTTAGCGCCTAAGAGCTATTCCCTAGAAACGGAAGAGTCAGGCGACGTAATCAGGCACAAGGGTCCGGCTAAAAAAATGGTCAATCGCGGCTGGTTTGAGGGGCAATTCGCGGATCTGGCCCGAACGCAGAATATAACAGTCGAATCCCACTTCCGGGTAGATTGGCACACGCTTAATATCGCAATAAAGAAATACCAAGTCAGTCTAGGTAGCAAAATAGGCACCAAAAGGGAACCGGTATTTGATGAAAACGGTGCTTGGATTGACACAAAACCAAAACATGTAATAGATTTAGGTGGGCAAGAGAGCGAGGTGCTAAAACTCGAATTGAAGATGCTCAAATCTGAGTTTCAAAAGAAAGAGATCGAATATCAGCATCAGATTGCTAATCTTAGTGAGAATCTAAGTCAAGAAAAGGATCAGAATTCTAAGATTATTGCTAGTCTTGAGGAGGAACTTCAGCAACTAAGAGAAGAGATGAAAGCCAAGGCTCTTCTTACTGAAGAAAAAATGGGTAGCCCTAAATCCACAGAGCCGGTCGAGCCTCCTACTTTTTACGACCAACCGCATAAGAAAGCCAAGAAAGGCCAGGGTCAAACGCCTTTGGCTAAGAAACCGCCATGAAGAAGAAGGAACCTGCGTCCAGTCGCCTCTCTCGCCCTGTGTGGTCGAAGGGATCTGACTTTCTCAATTGCGCCTATGCCTTTTCTCTCTGTCATCCTAGTCTCCCTGAGGTGGCGATCATTTGCCACACGACTCTTTTGATGACCGTGTGCAGTAAAGTAATGTGGACATGGAAGTATCCCGAGCCTGTTTAGAATGCATATAAACAGCAATACACAAAGGATGTCAAATCTTCCATCATGCCACATTTTCAGTGGGAATAAACCCCAGAAATCCCAACAGCCGGAATCACTCTGCTCTGAGACTAATGACTTCATAGTTAATAGCTCAGCGCCTATAGAGTTAGGGATGAGTTTTCTCATCCTGGGTAAGGCAAGGGGTTCTATTTCAGGAGATCTCCTAATTCATCACTTATGCTTAGCTTAGCCCCAACAACCATATTCAACATATGGATTTGATGGTGGCAAGCTGTGATCCTTCCTACTCGCCGTGCCTTTTGAGTGTAATAACAAATATATTTGAAATGATGACCACCTTGTACATGCAACCGCCTTGCAGAGCGATAAATCTGCTAATGGATGCCAAACGTAAAAGACTTTTCTTCGTTATATTTGTGCGATATTATTCTTCGAATGGATATGTTTCAAGTGGTGATGATATTCATGGCATTGATGATGTTGGACAACCTGTTAATGTTGATTCTGCTGGAAATGATGAAAGAAAGGAAAAGACTCTTTCTTTGTTTTGGAAACGTTTTGACATGAAGCTTGAAGAAACTCTGGATAGTAATGCAACATATGAGAATTTTAAAAATAACAAAAATGTTGTTTTAAAATTGTTGAATTCGAATAAATTTGATTATAGAAACATAAGCCCACAGGAGTTATATGACCTACAAATGGAAATAGAGGATATGACACTTCATTTTAACGAACCTCAAATATTAAGTAGTTATCCACAATTGTTCAAACTGTTGATAGGAAAAGATCTTCTTCCTGCAAAGGATTATCTAAAGCAAGAAAAGTGTGGCCTGTCGGACTTGGATTTAGAGTTTCTTAATTTATTTGATCAATATACGCTGGAGGCAGTCCTTATTTTTTCTCTTGGGGTTTTTTTCCACCCGCTAAAAGAATTCTGCGCCGTGAAAGTCTCTTATATGATCGAGAAGCTTGATTACTTTGTACGCTTCGAAACAGTACAAAGGGCAAAGAAGAAAGGTAAGAATATGGATATGGTGCCGAACTATTATAAAAAGAAAATAGATCCAAAAGGGAAACTGAATCGCTCTCATTATGCTATAGGGGTCTCTTTGGTTGAGTTCTTGGTGGAAAGGAAAGTAATCAGTTTAAAAAAGGACCGAAAGCTCAAAAAAACTGTTCAATTCAGTGAGAAATCCCATATAGATTTTCCTTCATAAAGGGCATTGATTGCTGTGGAATGGAAGTGCCCAGCGTTGTCAAGCGAAGTGTGTGTGTGTGGACTCCCTCTTTTTGTGCTACTTCTCCCATCTACCTTAGCCAATCACACCGATTCAGTTGAAACGCTTACTGGTACCGATTCATCCACTTTGATGTCTGAAATCGCGATCGACTTCCTATATCAAAAGGTCTCATTTAAACATATTGGACAAAGCCCTCTTCACTCGCTGTCCCGCCACGCCGATGGGGAATGGAGAAACAGGCCTACCCTCCCACTGCCCGTATAAGTAGAAATCCGCTCGCTACTAGTTCTCGTGGAAGACAAGCTTGAAGAAGCGAAATACGGGGTCCCAGGCCCGATACGAGAGAAAGTATGACTGATAGACGAAAAACGACTCATAGCTATTCTGTCTGTCATGGCCAATGCTAGCAACACCGCCTATGACCAACCTGTATTTGAATGTAGAGGGCGAAGGCGGACGAATAATAGACACGACATGGGCAAAAGGGATCCAACATCCTTTGCTCCAGACTGTCCATGGAAGGAATTCCATTTACCCAGCTGCCTTAATATTAATAGTGGATCTACCGGATCTTGGAATTTTCCCGTTTTCAAGGTGAGCTGAGGAACTCAGTCACTCTTTAGCTCCGTCTTTCTTTATTTAGGCTTTCCGAGCCTACAGCTGATCTGGACATGCGGGCAACTACCAGACTGAGTCGCCCTTCATTCACGTAGGAAAGAAGAATGCGTGAGAGATAGGGGGTGTGAAAGACCGGAGGATACGTGCGTCTGCTCTTGTTTTTCGGATGCGGAAGTCTCGGTGTTAGTATCATACCTGCCCATGGAAGAGATTCTGGGAAAAGATCATAGTGGGCATCGCCCTCGAGCTAAGAGCTAAATAAGTGGTAGGTAATTCATAATCATGAAAGTCAATGGACCTGGTGAACCTAGATGAGACGGACACGCTACGCGCTACCTTCATGTCTCGCCCAAAAGCGTAGGGGTGAGAGCATCCGGGCGGGGTAGTGACTGAATGGAATGCGCCAATCCGCCTTTTGCAGAAAGTCGTTGGCTTGGCCGAACCCGATGAAATGAGACATCCAAGGAAGAGCCCCTACCTTAGGATCAGATAGAGCATCCTGAACTTCCTCTTCAATGGCACCCTGTGCCTTGCCAACTCTCAAACTCATAAGCTTGTAAATTCTTGGTGTAATACTCACTCGTAAATGATAGGTGTAATTCGGAATTCTCTCGTTGAATGGGCTAATTCGACAAAGAAAAAAACTGCTATAGTATCTTCAATCTTACCCCCCTCTCCGTCTTCTATTCATCCTGCCCCCTTAAAAACTGGTGCTATTGCGGCTACACCTCCCGATTTGTCAGGTATACTACGAAGGCTCATCAAACAGCGCTTGATAGCTTTTCTCAGGATTTGGCCCAACAAGAATTTTATTCATATACGGAGAGCCGGCCCCCCGTTTGATAAGATCCTCCCTAACGCTATCCAAAAATTGGAGTTCTATTCTGTCTCTTTCCGCCGCCGTGCTCCGCCCTTGTGGGTGGGTGTCCAGCTCCAGCTTGTCTAGCTCGCCCCGTTTCTCGTCAAAGAAGTCGATAAAGGCTTCTTTAGAATTGTAGGAGGCCTTTTCGGCCAAGGTAGGATGTTCCGAAAGAAGTCGTTGATAAAGGGAATAACACCCGTGTTTCAGCTCCCGGATCTGGAGATCTGTATTCTCGAAGTCAAGTAAGCGGTTATACTCACGCTGAGAGGGGACTTGACCCAAGGCTGTTTTCATTTCGCGCCAATATTCTCCTTTCTCTTTATCCAGGAGAAACGGGCTATGGTCCTTCTCGAGGGCACATATTCTATTTCTTATAGAAGATTCCAAGCTCGTATTAGTTTTTATGTAACTATTATATGGTTGGTGAGAAGGCCCCGCCTCTTCGCGCGCCACCCCCCCAGCCCCAGGGGCGGAATTCACCGACGTGCCCTCCATTTCTGTTTCGGAAAAGGGCTCCAATAAGACCTGCATATCAAAATCCGTCCACGAGGACGGGCTTGATGGGCCGGAATGGGCTGGAAGAGGAAGTGCTAGACCGCCACCTCCCCCCACACTCAAAATCAAAAAAGGATAAAAAAAATGAAGACCTAAGTGGGAAAGTAAGTAGGCGCGAAGAAAATAGCAAAAGAAAGAGACGAAAACTAGAATGGATATATAAATCATAAAGACAAGTCGAAATCCAAACTTTTTTTTCAAACTAAAACAATAAAGACGAAGCAGAAAGATCAAGCCTAAGATAAGTATAGAAAAAAACACGAGATTTTTCCCTGTGGTCATTATAGCGGTTCCTTCTGCTCCTAGAAAACGCCCGAAAAAACCCGCTACGGAACTACCGAGCAGGGGCAAAAATATGATAAGTAGATAGATAAGTTTTCCCAGGCTATCGACCGCTTTTAACCCCGTTTGCATAGGCTCGTGCACAGATTGACGTTCAATAATCCCAGGGGCTTTCACTTCGACACGTCTTCGCTCGTGATCGCCTAGAGCCCCTCTTCCATCAATAGGTACTCCCAACGCGTCGACCACACGCCCTAGCATTGTTTTTCCCGCAGGAACATCCACAATAGATCCAGTGCGCTTGACAAGATCTCCTTCTTTAATAGCAGTATCACTACCAAAGACAACAATCCCTACATTCTCATTTTCAAGATTGAAGGCTATTCCTTTCACACCGCTGGCAAATTCAACCATTTCCCCAGCTTGAATCTCGTTCAATCCATAAACACGTGCAATACCATCTCCAACTGAGACCACTCGACCGATCTCAGTCACTTGAAAATGCGTGTCAAAGTTGGTAATTCGACTTTCTAATAGAGTAGTGAGTTCGGCAGCTCTAGGAGAGAATTCCATGAAAGATTGTATTTGATAAAGATTTGATTTGCAAGGGGGAATACCGCTTTAAGAAAGAGAAAGAAAGTGAAGAAAGAAAAAGAAAGTTCGACTTGCATGTGTTAAGCATCTAGCTAGCTAACGTTCTGAAAGCCGGGAGAAAACTCCGATTTTTGAGTTAGAGATTGGGAACCGGGCGTACTACTTTCTATTAGAAGGCCTTAGCTGTGGGAGGGAGCCGGATGCTTCCTTATTTACATCAAATTACTGGTTTCGAAATGCAAGTAGGTATTTTCAGTCTATCTGATGTCTCTAACTTCTTCAAATGATGAATCCAATGTTTCAAATCAAACAGATGATGAACAGGACAGAGGAATAGATAGCGCATCCATTGATTCAGAATTCGATCTATAGCACAGACTCTGCTCGATCTGCCTCGCCTACACGAAAGGGGCTTAGAGGAACCCTTAACAGACCAACGGATAGAGGAATTTGAAAAAGAAACGGGTGATTGAAGAAGCCGAGACGAGGTTCAAAACTTTCAATCAGCTGTTCTAAATTGATACCCCAAGCACCTATTCTCACCGCAAAACTCAACTAGTCAGCCTTAACCTTACTCAAGCAGCAAACAGACTTCTATTCTCATAGGCGAAAGGAAGTGATCATGATGTGGCTATAAGATTGGGTTTGAGTCTTTTCAACTGAGCTATGTCCATTTTCACTCATTTCCCATCTATATGAGACTAAACAATTTCCATTTTCATATGGTCAACCAGCAGGGTACGCAGCTTCTGTTGAATCTGCATCTCTTTCCCTGTTCAATCCGTTACCCCCTCCTAGCCAAGCATCAATGGGTGAGCCCCTTGGCTGGGTAATTCTATATATAGTCTGACTCTTTTCATCTCCCTCTACGTAGTCGTAAGGGAAAGTCTTATTAGTGGAAGTGATCTCCCCAAGGGTTCATTCTTCCGAGCCCTATTTAATGTGTTAACCTTGAGCGAAGGCTCAGCTTCTTGTCTTTGCCCGAGTCATAATACCTAGCCAAGTAAGGGTAAGCTCTCAAAAGGTAAGGTCTCATCCCTTCCGCTATTCATCCCTTTCTTTTGGAGTCCCTCTAAGCGTCCCTTCGGGTGACCTTAGTAACGGGAGGGCTCTAAACTGCTCTACCGACCCAGTTAATGGATGGGTTTTTGCTTTCTTTTCTTGAAATCTAATTGTTGCGTGGGTAGAGTCGTTATCTTCAAATAAATGGATTTGATTAGGAAAGAACTTCAAGAAAGACTCGAAACACATAATAGTCTTCCAAGAAGCAATTCTAGTTTCAGAATGGAATTCAAGAAAACTGCTTCATTCGCCTTCCGTAACAAACCTTTCAAGGTTGAATGTTGAGGAGATCTTTGAGATCTGGGAGATATGGTATGTGTTCCGGGGAATAGGAAGCAGATAAGAACGAATGCCGAATTACTGAAAAAGAGCTCTTTTCATGTAAGCCATATTATCATAGGTGATTCTGACCATACTTCTTCGAATGGAATATCTTATGATCAAGCGCCACTAAGGTCTTTGTCAAATTGACTACTTCAGAAGCTCGGTGGGTCAGTCCACCTTTCTGATGCGCCAGGTTGAGGGGCTGGTCCTTTAGGCGAGGCTCTTGAGCTCGCAGCGAGAGTTTCCCGATCCACTTGTCTATGTCTAGGCTTGTGCCTGCCCTTACTTACAAATATCTCTGGGAGTGGAGGGTGCCGAGCAAGCTCTGTCAGCGCTAGATCTCCGTGTCGGGTGTTCCCAGACGTTGCTAAAGAGAAAGGCATCAGCGAGTACTCCTTTTATTCTACGCGAAAAGAAAGATTTGCTTTATCTAAATGTTAAAACCTTCCATGTAAAATCAAGAATAGAAAGAAAGCTCCCATTCGCAAGCATTGATTGATCCCTTGAGACCAGAGGTCCGCTACTTGGTCCGAGTTTTGATGAACCTTATGATCAAAGTGGGAATCAAAAAGAGTATCCCAGTTAGTTCGTAGTGAAAAGGAAGTTTAGGACGAAATTCTCAGCACTGGATCCTGGGGAAGCTTATCATCAGCAGGTACGTGATCTGTATTGACAGTGCTCATCATTGGATGATTTACAAAACCCCTCCGAGCCATGAGGGAAAAATAATACTATAAGTAGTGGAAGGACGCGGAGCACAAACACCCAACAGGGCTGCCGACAGCAGCCAGATAGCGGCAGGACAAGTCGGAAAGAGGAACCCGCCCACAGAGCAGCTGAAAGAACAAAGCTAAAAACCCCCAAAGGCAAGCCCACAGCGGACAGAGCGAGGAAGAAAAGCAGGAAAGGGGGAGATGAAGTCTTTCACAGTCTTGTTTATCCTACCACTATATGTCTTGAAATAGTTCTCGAGGAACTAGAGCGGCTACTTATATATATAGGAAATTTAGACTCTGCTAGGCTGTCTTACTAGCTTGCATCCCTTTTGATTGCGTCGAATTAAACCACAACCATGCTCCACTTGGACCCCCTCCATACCCCCCGACACCCTCAATTTCACATGTCAGTTGAAATTCTGATCTATCAAGATTTTTCAAATAATCAGCCACAGGTTCGGTCTACTCATAATATCTTAATATAGACAGAGGCTTCAGTTCTCCAATTCTGGGCTTCGCTACACTGTTGAATCAGTCAGTAGATCCGAACGGGAGGCTTGTTGGGTTTTGAATTCAGAGCTCTAATAGAGAAAGAAGTGGAATCAGGATGTTCTACTCAACGGTCCCATCAAGCAAGGCATTCTAGCCTTCCTACCGATGCACATATACGCTCGAACTCTCGTCACTCAATACTTGCCCATGTCTCTCAAGAATGACGTATGTGAGTCTATCTTTTGTGGCAAGGAATTTCAATCCTGATTCCCCTCTCTCCGGCCTAACCTAAGGACGTCACGATACATAACGCACTAGGCCGCTTCAACCCATTCCTTCTATAAGGAGTACTCTGCCAAGTAAGACCAACCATTCATCCCCAACTTCTACTCTCTACTAACCAGCGCAGGGATACCCCAGTCTCTTTCTTGGTCGATTCACCCTCTTGTTCTATTTTCCATATCTCCTCAACACTTGCTTTCCCGCCTAAGGGATTGGAATACAACAGAGGAGGGATAGGTGTCTTGGCTGACAGCCCTGGTTCAACAGGCAGTGCCTTCCATTTAGACGCCAAGCCAACCTCAAGACAAGTGGAACATTCGTGTCACATCCCTCTCCTTTCTTACTCGCCGGGATCAAAGTCAGATTTTGAGTATGATTGGACTAGGATTTACGTAAAGGACGCCTTGGAGCACTTCTAAGAATAAGAGACAGTGGGTGTAGCAGAAGCCCTGGGGAGAGTAAGCAAGCTACCGCTCTTTACTATACGGATATTTAAGCAAAGCGTCCCCCCGCTCCATGTAAAAGTAATGGTACCGGCTGAGCTGCCAAGTGGACTTTCTTTGTTCACTCCCAACCCATCTCATTCTGATAACTACCATTTTGTTGATCCAATCGCGCTTTATTGTTGCAAGCGGTTGAGCGAGAAAGGAAGCTCATTCCGATCCCAGTGTGTCACACCCAAAACAAAAGTAAGGAATAAGAAGATTTTCCATCCATATGGCTAGCTTGCTTCCTTTAGGACCATTAACTGACTTCTATTGGCGGCCCCCCTCCTCTATTCATAAAGTAGGGTGGGCAACTTCCTTTTGACAGGCGTAGTGAGGGGCACTTCCTCTACCTAGAAATTGGATCAATGGTGAAAGGCGAATAAGCCTGCGGTCAATAAGCTTTCCATCTGGCTCTCTTTGTCAACTTGTCCGAAAGATTGGTCACAAGCTCTTACTCCTTCCCCGGTCTTTCTTTCTCACCTCTGGATTGCGATTAGATGGCCGATACTAAGGCATCAAAACCTAAGATTGACTCCTCAATGGGTCCAACCATTAGAGAGGGGTACAACGGGGCTTCTAAGGCACGATCATGGCCATAGAAAACAATCAGCAAGCAAAGCCCAGAACCCTTGAAAGGGAAGCTTGTTCACTCACAGCTTGTGAACACTTTGTATCCCACTACAGTTCCTCATTTTCATCTTCTTAAACTACTAAGCTTGAAAGACTTCGAAAGCTAGACCAGACAAGGTGCGTACAAGGTGATGCAAATGGAGGATTAAATGAGTAAGTTTACATTTCCAGCTTGGATGAAAAACGACAGCGAGCTCATCTCTTCGATACGAATTACGAAGGTGTAATCTACTCGAAGATTACACAATCTACTCGAAGATTGGAATTAGAAGTTCCAACCCCCCAAAAAAACCGAATATGAATATCCTCTCAAATGCGGGGGTCTTTTTATCCCTCCTGCGAATGTATTGTTAATGACGAAGTCGGACTCATGACTGGTTACGCGAGAGTGTTTGCCTATATATGCTATTATGAATCGCTCGGGTGCTCCTATTTGACCGATTGGCATCTTTTCGTTCTTGCCATTCTTCCTTTAGGCCTTAATCCATTCCCTCATCGCACAGGTCGTTCCGTATGTGTCGCCTAGCTTCCTATTCATTTCCGGGTCGCGGGACCCACCTATTTCACTTCTTGATGCTCAGATGCGTGAAGTGGTGAAGCCTTCATTCAGAAGCGAAAGACGAATCTGCTCCTGAAGTAACTTCTTCTGATCTTTCTCCGCGCGAGTCATCTTCGGTTCTTGGGTAGATAGAATCTTTGACAGCTGACGCGACCCGGCCCCGGACTCCTCCAAGCCCTCGTGACTGCCCGAGCCACAGAAGAGATGCCGGTGCCGGTACACATATGTCAAGGGCTGTGGTAAGGATTTGCGCGTTGTATCATGATTGGCAAGCAGAGTAGTTCTTTACAAGAGGCTCTCGAAATTCGTGTTCTTCGCCTGTTGGCCCGGATTCTCACCCTCCCAGAGCGGGATTACGACCACCCGAGCGTCAGAACGGTAAAGGAGTCCTTTTTGCCCCTACTTCTTAAGCTTCTTGAGGATCCGCTTGTTCCTAGGTATCAACCATCCTTTTGATTCGTATCGATAGCGTGTGCTAACAATTCCTTAGCAAAGAAAGGCTTTGAGGAAGGATATAGAGAGAATTGGTTCGAGTGGAATGTGTTAAGCATCTAGCCAGATAATTGTTGGCGTGGGTCGAAAGATTGATTCCTATTGGAAATGCTTCCTTCTCTATATGAGATTCAGTTCGTGAGATAGTAGCTCGCATGAAGTGACTTGACTTGAGAGGGTCAATTAGAGGAACAGAGGGGCTTTTGAGCTTTCATTTCAGTCATTGATGATCATTCGATCTATATATGGAAATATGGCACACGGATGAAACTGAAGAAAGAGAAGCATTGTGGGCTCCTTCAGGTTTAAAGGAGGACCTCCTCAATGCCCCTTGTAGCTAGCTGGAAACCACTTTCTGCCCATCTCTAATGGTTGGACCCAAAGAGCGGTCCCTCTGCGGTTTTTCCTTCTTAGTAGAGGCCATAGAATAGGCTTTTCATTATCAACCTTCTCAGGTGACCAGTATCGAGCGATTAACAAGCAGAACAAGTGACATGGGGGTCTACCTCGGCACCTTGGCGTGGTCTTTTACTACGGGGTTAGCTCCCCCCGTCTCTTTCTTTCTTCCCATCCGCCCCCCCTTCTACATCGAAGGGTCAAGGCTTCAGTCAGTTTTCAGCTTCGTTCAAGCATCAACCATAAACCCTTCTCCCTCCCGCATAGAGATATTCAAGCTTTTAAAGCAGATTGAAGCACGGAGACTGGATGTATTTTGTCTCGCGAAGGACCTGTCACCTATTCTTTGAAATAGGTTTCTTCTCTTCCTGGTGAAGTGAAGACAGGCTTCTTTAGCACAAAAAGAGAAGAAAATGAATACAGATCATGTGAGAGCGTAAGGCCAAATAAAGGGAAATCAATATCATCTGTAGAGAAAAGGAACCCCGGCCCGGATCAATCGGGCGGCTAGGATTTCATTTCAGGGCTTGGGTTATTGTGGGAATTGCTTGTTGGGTTTGGCTTTGCCTTTAAGGCTTGGTCGGTAACTTCGTTATTGGTTTGCTTTCTTTTGTAATCAACACTTTGACTTAGGTATTTCAAAACTTGTTTGCTTGTAATGGTCTCTCAGTAGAGAACTCTTGAGATATTGTAATAGAGAACCTCTAATCGAAGAGGCTCAGACAACGAAACTTGAAATCTTTGACTCCGGGTGATAGACCCATTTGCATGGTTTGGTACCGTGTGATAGTATTTTCCGCTTCGGGGGTATACAATTTGACAAAGAATCGGTATGTCCAGGAACCGAATCATCGGGCCCCAGGCTTGAAGAGGGGATCGCTAACTCTCGTGCCGTTTCAGTAAGTCAAAAAGTGTTTCGCTTTGAAGCTTATTTCTCAGCTAGTGCCCGCAGGAGCAGAAGCAAGGCGAGCAGGCAACTGAGTGCCCCTATATAAGTCATTCGTTCCTGCTTGGTTCTGTTCTGCTCTGTAGCAGTTCTGTCCGATCAAACTTTGAAAGAAAGCTTTTTCTCAAAGGAAATATCTATGACGTACGCGCACTTTCCTATAGCTCTTGAACGGAGCTTTCTAGCTTCAAGCTTTCGGGCTTGCTCTTCTTACAGGCTTCACAACAGATCTAGGACTTTACGTTGTAGGCGGAGACGCAGATGGGGGGGGGAACAAAGCGGCGGCAAACGGTATTTATAGTGAACAAGCTTCTCAATGCGGATACAATATCATTTTCACTAA